AGAGAGCCTGACATGGGGCTTGAACCCATGAACCGTGAGATCATGACCCAAGCCGAAGTTGGACACTTAACTGACTGAGCCACCCAGGTGCCCCTAATTTTATTCTTTAAATGATATTTTACATAATATTAGTCAATTCATTTAACTCAATTTTACTATGATTAATATTTTAAAAAAGATTTTAGTTTTAAGTAATCTCTACATCGAACATGGGACTCAAAGCTACAAGCAAGAGTCGCATGTTCTACCAATTGAGGAAGCCAGGTGCCCCTATTAATTAGTATTTTATTTTATTTTGTTTTGTTTTATTTTGTTTTATTTTAAAGACATGCTCTTTGTTGACATTTTTTAAATGTTTATTTATTTTTGAAAGAGAGAGAGAGAGAGAGACAGAGAGACAGAGCATAAGCGGGGGAAGGGCAGAGAGAGAGAGGGAGACACAATCCAAAACAGGCTCCAGGTTCTGAGCTGTCAGCACAGAGTCCAAGGAGGGCTTGAACTCATGAGCTGCGATATCATGACCTGAGCCAAAGTTGGATGCCTAACTGGCTGAGCCACCCAGGCATCCCTTAATTAATATTCTAAATAATATTTTAATATATACAGTCTTAAAATAAGAGAGGTCTTTTAGAGCCCTCAAAATCCAGGTAACCGGCTTCTTCAGCTCTCTCTAGGGGAGGTATAAGGAGAGAAGCAGTCAGAAGACCATAAAAGACTACTGAAACCAGAGTTTGCCTTCAACTTCCTAGTGGCCATATTTACCCAGACATGCTCACAAATTCAATCATTCTGTACTACACCTGTCGCTACATCCTTTTCCTAGGTGTGCACCTTGGAGGTGAGGCTGTACATCTACCTGGCCAGGTGTTCTGGGCCATGTTCTTCCAGTAAGTACACCACAGACACCTCAGAGGAGTCTGAGGGTCCATCACTGCTCTGACACTGGGCAAAGCGCTGATGATGTCCTCTAGGCTGCAGAGATGTTTAGAGACTCCTGTATCCTGACAAATGCTCTTCTACTGGGCCTGCCCCTCTAACTCTTATTGGCCTTGCATGGGGCTCTGGCCATAGCTTTTCTCAGTTTGAGTAGGACCATAGGCCAGTAAGAATGGTGAAGGCAGCTATTCAGGGTCCTGCTGCAGAGAAGACTAGCTTCCTCATGATGGCAGGTCAAAACCCAAGAGGCTCTGTTCTCATCAGGCAGACAGACAAGCCTCCAACATGCTCTACAGATCCCTCACACTGGGGCCTTTCCGGGGAGTACAGGCACAGGCATGTTACACCGGGCATACGTGTTAGCACACACACACACACACACACATACACACTCACCATGTCACTTGACCGACCAACATTCTTCCACAACCACATTTAAGTAAAGAGTAAGGACAGCTTTAAAGGAAGCGAGTTGTAAAAGGGCAGCCTAAGGAGCAGATGTGTGAAGGTAGTGGCACAATGTAATCCACTTCCATTTACTCATTCAGTCGTGGCGCTGGGCTTCCAGGGTGATTGTACAAGGAACGATCAGAAAGAATTGAATATTTACAAAATATATCACTGAGTCACTAGGATATATGCAAACATGCATTCAAAACCAATTTGTGCCAGAACTGTCACTGTTTCTTCTACAATTATACAAATGTTCAATGTGTGCCCTGAGTCATACTGTAAGTGATGGCCAATGACGGTCACAATGACAGCCCTACAACATGGTTGTGAGGAATAGGTGTTTTGAAAATGAGTTGCATAGATAGGTTCTTACATACATAATCTAGAGTATAACCTAGAAATTAAGCAATAAATTTTAAAAGCATTCCATTTTCACTGATTCAATTATATATTAGCTCACAGTTGGATAAGGGTTTTAGTTACTGTTAATTTTTTAAAGCTTTTTTCTCTTTTTTTAACTGAGTGATGGCTTGTGATCAGCTGCTCAAGGATTGTCCAGTCTTCTTGACAGGGCAATCACCATGGTTACCCTAGGCAGAGGTTAGGAAAGCTTTGACCAGGGTCATGGTCTGCATGGTGAGGAGCACAGCCTTGCTGAGATGCCCTAGGCTGGGAGAATTACAAGACTATTTCACTGTTTTTCTTAAAGCACAACAGGCTGATTCTTTCTCCCTACCAGGCGGGGCTCTAGGAAGCTGCAGGCCATCTCACCCCCACTACAGAATCAAAGAAAAGAAGAATGACACACGCTCCCTGCTCCCTGAGACAGTTAGGACTTGCACTTTTCACACAGCCCCTACCATAGTAGGACTTGCTGGAAAGAGGAGCTGGTACAGTTACAGCAGAAGAGGTTGTGTAATGGGATGAACAGCTATGTATAATGGGAGGCACTGCCAATCTTTTCCTATCCCTTCCTTTTTTGGGTGAAAGAAAGACTTTGCACAGGGTACAGAGGGTTACAGAAGGCTCGCTACACTTCCAAACTATCCCTTCATCTTGTGCAGAAGACCCAGAGAATTCTTTTTCTGGTGATGGACACCAAAGCCTACCTCCTTCCCTCTCCGCTCCATCGGGTATTACCCGGAGCAGCCTTGGGTCCCCTGGAAGGGCTGTCCATTAGAAACTAGGCAGAAGGGTAATAGAAATGCAATCCCACACTCTCCTCTCATTGTCCACCGTGGATTTTGGCTCTTATGTCATTTCTATTACGATAGTGTCATGTATTCAATGTCTGATGAACACATGACAACCGTCATGTAAGCCATCACATTTTTCATCATCTTTTGTATTTGCCAAATTTAAGTACATTCATAATTAATTCCTAACTATAAAACACCAAACATAAATCTATATTATATATTAAATGTAAACTGTTACCTCCATGTCTATTCAATATCATTATATAGCTAGCATTTAATAGAGAACTTACTGTGTGCTGAGCCCTGGGTTAAGTACTTTTCAGGACTTAAAAAAAAATTTAAGCATCACTGAAATCCTAAAAGATAGGGTATATTATGTTCATTTTACAAATGAAGAAATTAAGGTTCAGAGAGACTTTTAAAAAGTGTCAAGGTCACAGAAGTATGCAGTGTGCAGTGGCGCACAGATTCAAGCCCAGATTGAGTCCTAAACCCTCTCCCCCCACAATCACCTCCCTTAAACCCAGGGGAGGCTAAAATCTGTAGCAGGTTAAAAAGTTAGCTCTTTCTAGCATGAGAAGATACAGACTGAGTGAGGCAGAACCAAGGTTCTAAGATAAAAATTTGGATATAATGAACACGAAATGGAGTTATAAAAACTCCAAACACTGACACAAAGGAAATGCCTTTTTGAATGTAAAATAAATTTGAGAAGTACTAGAGCCTGTGGATTTCTTAATCCTGTTACAGGTAGTAAAGATATAAAAGTCTAATCGGTTGGGTAAGCCAAAGATAGAAATAGGTTCAAGGAGACCCTACAGGAATTTGTTGATCAGAGAATAAAGCGCTTCCTTTCATTAAGTCTTGGGATGAATATAAAATTATCAATTTTTGTTTAAAAACAAGTATTAATTCCATATGGTTTAATTTAGCTAGAGGGCTCTGCCTGGCTTTTATCTATAAAGGATACAGAAATCATACAGAGTTAACTGTAATTCCATTTACTGAGACTACATATAGGATGCAAAGAACCAGCACTAAAATGTTGGTTTTGGTTTTGTTGAAATTTTAGAAAAATAACTCTTTCTCTTCCCAGTCTTTTGTGTGTATAAGGGTTGGGGAATTGGTTGGAAATGTAAATATTCAGATTAATGTCTGTTTGGTTGTCACAGAGCCAGAAATTGGGTTTTGGTGTTCTTTTTGCTCTAACCATCTAACTGACCTACGGCAAAACCTCAACCGAGTAGGAATTCACTTCAATCATCCATTAAATGAGGAGATGTGTACCTTTCAGTTCTAACACTTTACAGAGAGTTAAGAATAAACAGCTGGCTTTTGCTGCCACAATTGTCAAAGTCTGGTCCTGTATCTTTTTCTTTCCTCAATACGATTTTTCAAAACCCTACAATCAATTTTATCAGATACAGATAAACCAACTGGGACAGGGGGTTGCCAGATCTAGCAACTAAAAATATGAGATGTCCAGTTAAATTTGAATTTCAGACAAACCTTGAGTCATATTTTAGAATAAGCATGTCCCCTGCAATATTTGGGACATACTTATTAAAAAAAAAAACACCTGGTTTGTGGTTTATCCAAAATTCGAACGTAGTTTGGGTATCCTATATTTTATCCGGCAACCTTGTTCTGGGTTGGGTTTCAAGTGAGTCTATGGACTCCATGAAAATTTCTGGAATATTATAAAACATGTGATGCCTGTGTGTTTGTGTGTATTTTTCCTGTGGAGTGGGCCTAGATCTTTCATGCGGTTCTGAAGACCCATAACCATTGGGCTGAGAATTGCACAGACAAGAAACGGTCACATAGTTCTACTGTCTTCAAGGAGTGGGCAAGTCCCTGTGGAAGAACTAACTACACTGTGTCCGGGCCTGACACAGCTCTCAAGTGAAAATCGTCTAGAACTAGCTGTAGAAGAGAATTGTCACTTTATATTTAAGAACATTCTCTGTTCTGCTGCCTTCCACCCTTGCCTCCTCGGAGAGACTCCACATGGGGCAAGCTGAAAAGCCATGTGTGCTAAAGTGTCACTGTCACTCTCATGCCAGAATGAGCTGGGATCCCAGAATGTGTCCTTGCCAAAGGGGCGAATCAGCTGCGCCTTCTCTGTCCTGTCACATTCCTGTGCTGCATCTGTCGGAGCTCATCAGGACCGACTCCGGGAATAGAAACACTCCAGCCTCTGCTGCTTGCCATTTTAAGTTAAGTCCGACTCGAGGGGGGTTTTCCACTTTACCGTTTCATTTCTAACCCAAAACGTATGGTCAACATAGCCATATGTGGACACTGAGAACAAAAATTTGTTTTATGGTTCAATCAAAAATACTTTCTTTTAATGGGGGAGTTTCTATCTTGCCAGTAGGAATATTTCTGGGAATTCAAAGAGTTTAAGAATGTACTTTGTCCCTCCTTTCTGTATAAAATAGAGGAAGAAAAAAATACATTAGGCTTTAGAGACGTAAAATTATTAACAGAAACAACAAGCAATTTTACTGTTTAAAGGCATCTCTCTCATGCATTTCTATTACGAAGACATTCTCCTAATCTATGTCATTCCTTACATTTCAAGAAATGTTTTCTGGGTCCCAATTTCCCATTTGGCACAGGAGCAACGCGGCCCGTGGTAGACGGCAGTCAGTGAATAGCTCTGGATCCTGGAGCACGCGGTCCTGGCCACCCTCTCCCACCCACACACCCATACGCACCCTTGAATCTAGAAGACAGGAATTGGAGAGCGTGGCCCCAGCTCCTTACCCTCCTGTGTGAAGTGGCTTCAGGACAGACGTGTGATGGTGAGTTTTCAGCAGCAGGCTCCTCTTGGGAAGCAATCTGTGGAGAAAGAGAGAGAGAAAGAGGAAGGGAGGGAGAAGGAAAATGCAGTGGGGAGCCACCGGCAGCCACCTGACAAAGTCCCAGCAGCGGCAATTTTTAGAGTGACCCTTGGCCGTCCAACCAAATGAGGCTCAGAGCCTGAGCTCCTCAGCCCTAGAGTAGGAGGGTAAGCCCCCCTCCCCCACTTCCCTCTTTGGCCTTCAACTCCCAGCCTCCTGGGGCTGAGGCGGGGCTCTGGTTGCTGGAGAGGGATTGGGTTTCTTGACCCGCTCAGTAGTTAAAAAAAAAAAAAAAAAAAATCAAGAGTCAGTCACCCTGGGAGTGAGGAAAGAAAATTAGGATATTTAATTGTTGGAAGCAGGGATGGTGGGGGCTGGGGAAGCATCTTTGGTAAGAAGAAGGGAAGGCTGTGAATCAAAACTTCGCTTCTAGAAAGGTAAATAGCCTGGTCACCTCAGGTCCTCCCCAAAGCCCAAGTTTATAAATAGGCTGTTCTTTAGATAGAGGAGCACATGTTTAGGAGGACAAGGTGCGTTCTTTGATACCTCACATGTGATATCGACATTATTAGAGTTATGGTATAGTTGAAGAGAGTGAGGTTTGAGACCAGTCCTTGACTCTCCAGTGATGCACAGGGAGGTCTGAGATGATTGCACACTCTGGCATACATGCAGGTGGAAAGATATCTACTTTGGCAGCACTTCATATGAAAAAAAAATCAGAGGATTACAATTGACCACGAGCTTTTAATAGACACTAAGAGTGTGAAATGGCTGCGAACCGTTAATGTGATATTAGGCTGCAATAATAGAGAACTAGATCGGGGAAAATTAATATTCTAAATTATTCTTCATTACTCAGGTGATGTGTAAGTAGGCATTGCTTTGCCCTTTGGCATACTGGAAAGGAGATGGCTGGAATGAAGAGAACTTCAGGAGCTGTACATATTGGGACTATCTGAAGCAAAGTTTCGAGAGAGGACTTAGGATAGATGAAACTTGTGTGTCAAGTGTTTTGGGGGTTGTTGTGCAACAAAGGGATTCAGTATAAATTCTTGCAACCTAACATGGCCAGCATTGGACCCAATGGGTGGAAAGTCCAGGAAACTATTAAAAATAAGGAAGGAAAATTCTGTTAACAACTGGTTCTAATGATGAAAAAGGATCCTAATGATGAAAAGGATCCAGTTCTTTATGAGGGGAAGCGGTGAAGTAAAAGAAGTAGAAGGGACTCTGCTCTGGCTGGTGCTTGTACTAGATCATCTCTGATATCTTTCAAACTCTACGATTTTATGATTTCCATATGTACTGGGGTTAGTTCTCATGTCACGTCTCAGCTCACTGGTTAGAATCTTAGGTATCCCTTCTACTTAAATTCCATTCAGCTTTTTTTTAGCAAGGGAAACTATTTTGATTTTTTTAAAAAAGTCTTTGTTTTCACCATAGATCTCTAGCTTTGAATGTGTCAGAAATAAATCAAAGAAGTTCTTTATTCTATGGTTTACATAAAGCTAATAGAGAACCACTTCCAAGTAATCCTTCTTGTTTCCACCTCCTTGATTCCAGTCAAGGGCCAGGGCATTCAACTCGCATCTTAGTAGAGTGATAAAAATCATCTTTATATCAGTATTTGTGACGACAATGATATGATTATGGAAAGGTCCTTCAAGAAGTAAGAAGGAGTGATCTGGGAATCTTGTTAAAAACCAGTTTTGATAAGGTAGGTCTGGGGTTGTTTTTCTAACAAGTTCATAGGTAATGCTGATATCACTGGTCCAAGGACCACAGTTTGAGTAGCAAGGATTTACAATGCTTTGGCTACTCAACATCTGAAGGAAAAGGGTTTGTTAAAAAGGAAATAGAAGCCATTATATCAGAACACATTCAATGTTCCAATACCAAATCTACCAGAAAGAAGTCCATAACCTTTCTTTCTTCGCCTTGTTAAACCCCTCTCCTGGTGTTTTGGGTTACAGACATAGCCATCTGTTCAGGAACCTTGCTGTATCAATTCTTCCCACTCTTCTGTTACCCTGCACCCCCATTTCTGTGGGCCAATTTCTACCTCTGTTTAATGGTAAGCTCTCAGTTTAGTCCCTATTTCCTCCAGATAATGCCATATTTCTCTTCTTCATAGGCAACCTTCTTGGATGTATTGTGTATATTTATAACTGTAGCCTTTATCATGTTGCTTCCCATTTTCTCCCCAGATCAATTCAACTAAGCTTTCCTGTTTGCCCTTCTAACAAAGTGCTAGTGACAAAGTCATAAATAACCATGAGTCACTAGTTTTTTGGACATTTGCCAGAGCCTGACCTTTCTGAATTATTCCACACAGTTGACCAATCACTTCTACTAAAAATTCTTTTATCCTATTGGTTTTGGTTTTTTTCTACAATTTCTTTCATCTTTTATTCTCATTTTCCTTTTCTTGAAGAACTTCTGTGCAACTCTTGAAGACTAAAATGCTTCAGATCTGTCCTAGACTCTCTTCCATCCTCAAAGCTGCATTTGGCAGATGAGCTCATATATCCTTAGATATCTCACAGGCTCCTTAAAATTCATTATTTCCAAGACTAAAGTCATCTTTTCCCTCAAAATATGTTCTTTCTACAATATTGCCTTTGGTAGTATACAAGTCATCGCTCATCTAGTTCTTTAAAGGGTGAACTTGGGATCATCATTTGCCTCTTCCTCATCACCCTGTACCCCTGTCTCCACATCTCATTATTCCCCGTGTCCTCTTATTACATATTTGTAATATCTTTCCCACTGCTACCATTATGGTCTGAGCTATCATCACCTCTCACTGGACCATTGTGAAATCCCCCAAAATGGCCTTCTTATGTCCACTCTTGCTTCTCTTCAATCTGTCCTTTACACAATGTAACCAAAGTGATATTTTCAAATCTGATCATGTAACTTCCCTGCAGAAAATTCAACAGCTTTCCATTTCCTCAGAATAAAGTCCCAAATCTTTCTCTGGCTTACATGGTCTTTTAGCCACCATATCCCTATTTTCCTCTACAATATCTTCATGCTCTAGCAAAGCCAGTCTTCTCCAAGTACCTCAAATATACCACCTCTCTCTCTGGCTTTAGGTCATCATACTTGCTCCCAAGGTGCCATCTATTTCTTTTTCTACTTCACAGTTCAGCAACCCCTCATTTGACTAGAAGTGCCATAAATAACAAAAGCTAGCACATCCTTACTCTGTACCAGGTAACTATGGTAGGTAGCTTCTACAATGGCCCCGAAATGATCTCTGCCTCCTGGGATTCATAGCATTAAATAATCTCTTTACTTTCAGCAACTTACTTCTAAAGAATAGAATGCCTTAAAGTTGACGGGATATGATTTCTTTGACTATATTACAAGAGATTCCTATTTTCACCTTAAAAGGAGACTTTCCCCCTTCCTGTCTTTAATGAAGCTCAGTGTGACATCTGAAATACTCAGGCAAAGAACAACCAGCTAGGAAATGAAGCTCTTAGTCAAACATTCCCCTAAAGATGTGGATCCTGCCAATATCCCTGCATGAACTTACAAGTGGATCCTTCCTCAGCTGAGCCTTCAGATGAGACTCAACTTTGGTGAATATCCTGGATAAGCACCAGCAGGTGAGTAACACTGCCATGACCCCTAGCTAAAGCCATTAGCTTGGAGATCAAGCACTGTATGTTGGCCAAAGCTTGAGAGGGTGCTTCAGTTAAAATTAAGGAGGAGGAAACTACTAAGGACTAGTTTTTTCCTTCCATCACCCTTGTTTCTGGCACCAGGGATCCCCAGTGTGCACTGAAGTTGTATTTTTAACATGTCAAAATCTGTCAGTTCAAATGTGTTGTGCACAATTGTGTGTGGCCTTGACTGACACGAAGCTGCTCTGTGAATAGTCAACTAATGACAGTAATCAAACTGTGCAGTACTTTGTGCAGTGCTGTGATTTCATGAAACAAGGACCATAGGTAAGACCTGACCTACTGTGAGAATAATGTATATTGTTTTAATCTGCTAATTTATGCACCAATAGGTAACTAATACAGTACGCTTCTATGTGTCTTTCATGGATACACTTACAGAATCCTCACAACATTTTTATCAGCTAAGATTCATGTTCTATAGATTAAAAAACTCAAGAACTCTTAACTTATCCTAGAGCACATGCTGGTAAGGGATGGAACCAAAATTTGGACCCACCTGGTCAGGCTCCATGGTCCATGCTTTTAACCACTTCATTTTGTACGAAGCAGTGACTATATCTGATTTGTGTATAACTGTGGTCCCAATAAACAACACAGCGTTGACACACACTAGTGCTAAATAAGTGGTTAATTGATTACATAATTTAGAAAAGATCTAAATGAGTGATGAATAAATTTTGGTTTTGTTCATGCAAAGTAAGTTTAGAAGAGTATTCTGAGTTGTAACTGAGTCTCAAAGGCTTTTTTCATTTTGTGGTATGCAGGCCTACAATGAGCTACATGCTCATTGACTGAAAATTACAGGTGCATACCAGCAGCATTTTTCACAGAACTAGAACAAACAATCCTAAAATTTGTATGGAATCACAAAAGGCCCTAAATAGTCAAAGCAATTCTGGAAAAGAAAAACAAAGTTGCAGGGATCACAATCACAGATTTCTAACTATATTACAAAGCTGTAGTCAACAAAATGGTATGGTATTGAGACAAAAATAGACACATAGATTGATGGAGCAGAAAGAATAGAAAGCCCAGAAAGAAACCCACAACTATATGGTCAGCTAATTTTCAACAAAGGAGGAAAGACTATACAATGGGGGAAAGACAGTCTCTTCAACAAATGGTGTTGGGAAAACTGTACAGCCACATGCAAAAGAATGAAACCAGACCACTTTCTTATACCATACTCAAAAATAAACTCAAAATGGATTAAAGACCTAAATGGGAAATCTGAAACCATAAAAATCCTAGTAGGGAGCACAGGCAGCAATTTATC